CGCTTTGTCACTGTTTTTCCTGCTTCTGCTTCGGTGCTGTTTTATTCACATGTTAAGAAATGTGCAAAATATGATTTAACTCACTTAAAATTTTACTTTACATTTTAAGGCTTATTATTCAGTAACTACAGGAACTTCAATGCAAACTGGCAGAGCTATTTTTAGGTTATAGGCGTGCATAATAAAACTTTGGGCCCACTGGTGGACTCTGGCCATTTAAGGGGTTAAAAAAACTACTCATGCCCATGGCTAGGTCATTTATGAGTGGGGAAGTACATGCAGTATTGTGCAAAAGTTTTAGGCACCCAAAAAAAAAAAAAAGAATTAAAGCTGTTTGTGTGGTCAGTAAGCATTTATCTGCTCAGTTTGATTACATTTAACCAAACCTCTCCTCGCCCAGTGTTATAGTTATCATCTAACACCTGGTTTGGCTAATAATAACACAATTTCTTATGTTAAATCAAGTGTGCTGCTGAACAAATCCATGACTTTGTTCTTTAAACTAGTTCACAAAACAAAGAATATAAGAAAAACATTTTTTAATTATATTGTTACATTCTACTGTATTTATGCTTATTTTTATTAACCCATTTTGCCAAGCATAAAGGTTATAAGTGCCCTAGTCAAGGGCCAGACGTTGTGGCCAGATGAATGGGTTGGAGCATCCTGGTCAGCAGTAGTGAATACTACCGATAACAGGCCAATAAGAGACCACAAACCAGCATCAGGGTGCTGGATGCCCAAGACTCATCGATGCATGAGGGCAGCAAAGGCAATCCCATGTGGTCTGAACCAACAGAAGGGCTACTGTGGTGTAAGTCACAGAAATGTTTAATGATGGTTACGAGAGGCTGCTTATGGGGCGGCATAGCTGCAGACTGGTCAGAGTGCCAATGCTAACCACTGTCCACCACCAAAAGCCTACAAGGGGCATGTGAGTGGCAGAATTGGACTTGGAAGCAAGGATGAAGGTCGCCTGGTTGAATGAGTCCCATTTTCTTTTACACTACATGGATGGCTGGGTACGTGTGCGGCGTTTACCTGGGGAAGTGATGGCACCAGGATGCACTGTGGGAAGAAGACAAGCTGGTGGAGGGAGTGTGATGCTCTGGGTCCAGGCAGTCATGTGGCTTTGACATGTGCTACCTGCCTAAACATCACCGTGGACCAGGTGGACACCTCCATGGCAGTGTTGCCTAAATGTGGCAGAATGTAAACGCTGCACCGTTTAAGGCTGAATGGAAAATTGGAATAAGAAGCCTCATTAGAAAGTGTTTGCGAATGGCTCAGCCCTGAGACATTACTAGAATCCTATAGGCACGTTAGAAGTTAACATTTTCATTGAGGTGGATTTTCCTTGTGTTTTGACATTTATGGCCCAAATTGAAGGCCTAGCTTTAAATCTGCTCACCACTGTAATGTACATACCAAGCCTAATACCCTGCACACCAGCATTCCTGAGTAAGCCTATTCACATTTTATCTGTTAATAAATACGTCTGCGAGGCACTGGGCTGTGTTTTGGGGTCACCGAGTGGCCGAATTTTACAGATGTCAGTTAAACAGCAACGGAAAATGAGGCCATAATTTACATCTCCATGGGCCGCACTTGCAAATTACTGTGCCATGGCGGTATGTAAAAATGAGTATCTGCTAGTGGCTGTGTGATTACCTTAACGTCCCTAACACCCTCCCAAAAGTCCCCGTGCTGCTGCCCTGGGTGGCAGGCCCATGCCTTACCTCTCTCTGCTTAATGAGGTAATCGTAGACCACTCACAGCACTCCACCTCCGTCCAACTACAGGCCCCGGCCCAGACTCCAATTAGTGGTCGCGCTAACGGGCAGTGATTACGCCTGCTCTTCAAATTAGGACGGACCGCAGGTTTAAACACTGCCGGGGGGTAACACAGGCCTGTCCGTGGGCCGATCAGCGGGAGTCGCTCCGAGCTAATTAAAGGCCGCCAATGCATTTGTTTCTGTTGATTATGTTTCAGAAAATTCTGTTTCGTGGAAATTGAATGCCGCCCATGTATGAGAATGAGTCAACATGTTCGGATATCGTGTTTTAGGGGAGACAGCAAAAGGTCCAGCATTTTCTCCAGATGTTGAGGGCAGGAGGTCCAGTGGCAGGGCTCGTGCAGGACCTCTGGGGAGCGGTAGCAGGATTTGGTTGGACAATTGAAGTAAAATATGGACTAGTTTGTTTCAGTGCGTCCCAGACAGAAATGCTGCTGCGCTACATGCTTTAATGTTGGACCATCAAAGCAGAAAGAAAGAAATTGCAATGGCATCCCAGAAACTCATCTACAGAGTCTCATATTGCTGTGAAAAATAATGCACTTAAGTAAATATGCAGGTTTCTCACTCATAGGCCTTCTCCAAGCTTGCCTGATTCCTCTAATAAGCTACACTATGTACTTGTTCTAAGCGTTTTGTACAACTCAACTCTCTGCGTTCTACAAAACTGTCGTTATTTAAATTGTATCTGAAATATATTTCCAGCAGTTTATCCATAAGTTCCCCCTGTACCAGTTTCCACCTCTGTTTAGAAGTAAACAGGCTGTTTTTGTTACTGTGCCTTTAAGACTGATATATGTAAATGGCCTCTGTTCTGATTGGCAGCTCTGTATTGTGCCTCATTCAAAAAACAATCTGAGCTTATAACTTCAGCATGAGTGGGCGGAGCTGACCTGCTGTAGGCTACATGGGCAAATACACTGTTGTTGTTGGAATAAAACCTTGTATCTCCAAAAAGGTTTACAGGAAAAATTGTATAGGAAGTTAATGTAAGAGATTGTTCACTAATTTCTGTTGGTCTCTGAAATGCAAAGTAGCTGGAGTTTTTAAATTATGCAAAACAAGGTTTTTGATGGTGATAGTGATGGTTTTTGTGACATCATAAAAGAAATACAAAGCAAACGCTTAGTTTCCATTTTTGGACTGGGATATTAACGGCATGTTTGGAAACCTTAACCATGTTTACAGTGTTACTGTTTCAAACTCTTTTATTTCAAAAAAGTGAGCTACATATATTTTGCCATGAAAAAGGTCCTTTAAACTTGTTAGGTTCTGTAGAAATTATGAGAATTAATGGTCCAGATTTGCCCTTTAGAACCAGAGAAATGATTGCTGTCTTTATTAATGAGGCTTCTGCATGCAATGATCTCATAAGTGCAGTGAAGATCACAGTATCAAATACCACAGATACGACTCAGGCACCTTTTAAAGTCATAAAGGATGATATAGTGATATCACAGGTTCTTCCACTGCACTATAAAAAAATGATTTTATTTGTAAAAAACAGTGCATATGCTGTCATTCTGATGAAAGTGTGTTTGTGTTTGCAGCTCGTTTTTTTTTGTTTTGCAGTGCCTTGAGCATAGTAAAGCCATTCAACACCTACTTTCTCTCTAAACACACTGGCCATTTCATCAGAAACACCTACCTTCTACCTACACTCACTGGCCATTTTATCAGAAACACCTACCTTCTACCTACACTCACTGGCCATTTTTTTAGAAACACCATTCCTTCTACCTACACACACTGGCCATTTTATCAGAAACACCTACCATCTACCTTCACACACTGGCCATTTTATCAGAAACACCTACCTTCTACCTACACACAACCATTTTATCAGAAACACCTACCATGTAGGTCCACTTTTCAGGGGTACAGATTATAGTCCATCCACTGCTGCACAATTTTTACCCCCCTTTACCCCATTCACGGAAAGGGACCACCAGAGGACACTCCACACAGACAGACACAGTACGGCTCAAGTTTTTTAACACACTGATAGGTTAAGAGCGGACCACCACCCACGAATATCTGGTCAGCAGTGGTCTTATCTGAAATCCAATCTTCTTTCTAGACATTTTTTCGTGAAATTCTCTCACTTTATTGACAGATGATTTCGCTTTTCTCTTCAGGCAAACAAGTCAAATTATATGTCAGTATAGTGAGACAATATGGACAATCAGAGAATGTAAAAAGTAGATGTTTCTAATAAAACGGCAACTCAATGTACTCAGTGTAGATCATGCTCAGTCTCCCCTATGGTCAGGCCAGAATTGTCTCCCTCTAGTGGAGAACAGAAGAAGTGCTTTTCTGACCAAAAACCACAGCAAAATGATTCCACCCAAATTCTAACCTTAACCAGCACAAGAAAAGAGAACATATGACAAATATATATATATGACAAAGGGCTTTGTGGTTGGTGAAGTGTCCCTGTCCCTTGGAAATGAGTTTGTTTGTTCCAAATAAGTTGGGACAATATGTGAAATGCTAATAAAAACAGAAAGCAGAGATTAGTAAAATCTGTGCTAAATTGACCAATACAACTGACCAGTAAAACTCTTTTTAACAGTACAAAAACACAATATTTGATGTTTACCTTATGAACTTTATTATTATATATTATATATTTATGTGAAATATGTGTGAAAAATATTATGATTTTATGTGTGTACAGCTGTTCAAAGCTGTGTTTGCTAGTCATGTACTGGCCAGTGTTTTTGAGTTTTGCTCAAAATGAGATAAAACAGTCACTACTGAAACCGCCAGTAAAGTCTGGGTAGTGTTGTAATCGTTTTGGTAGTGACAAAATGAAAAAATCCAATTATTTATTTAAATAAAACAAACATAATTAAGGTATAGGGTCACTCAGATGGATTTAAAGTCTGATAAGTCAGTTAAAAGTCTGAAATGTGTTTTCAGCTCTGACTGTGTACAAATTCAGTAGAACGATCCATATATGGAGTTTATAAAAGCTTATTACAGTAAGCATGTGTTATAACACCTGCTGAGGTAAAATGACATCATGAATGACATCATGAAATGACATCAGACTTTATGACAAAGAATGCTTGTTTGAATAAGCCTTTATAAATATTTTGTATATCAGTTGTCATAAAAGGCTTACGTAGGTGTCATGTAGCCTTACAAACACTGTCCTACTGTAAAGTGATTTAAGAGAACACTTTGGAAACTTTGGAATTATTACTCCAGTGCAGAATTTATTATAAAACAATGAAAACTCCTATTACTCCTGTACAGCATTGCACGTATAGACATTAACACAATCTGAATAAAGTGCATCAGCAGAAGGAACTGCAACTCTTCCTGAAATAACAGTTCTATCAGTGACAAAATCTTGGATGTGATGTAACATTTGGCCTCTGTACTACAAAGTTACTGCAGCAAAATCAAACATGAAGTTGAATTCCCTTTCTTGTTTCCCCAAAATAAAACACTTATCCAGAGCAGTTACAGAGAACAGTACTAGGTGAATGAGACAAAGGGCTTTAGAATAATTAGATTAACATTACAAATACGGCTATTGTTCCAGATGGAATTTGCAATGATCCGAATAAGTTTCTAAACAGAGCCATTGTAGTGTTTGTGGGGCTGATGATTCATCAATAAATCTTTTCAATCTGTGGCTATTGTGGTCAAAGGCAGTTCATATCTAATAATACTCTTAAACTCTTGACTTAACAGGTCATGTATGCTGATCTATGATCAGTTTTTGCACCTCATAAAGGATCAGCGCTCTTAACTGTTCAACATTTTACGCTTATGAGCTCAGAAACTGAAGACTAAGACACTTTATAGATACATTCACACCTGAAAAAGCTCCTGTGTATTTGGGCGTGTTTTCACTGTGTCTACAAATCATCTTCAGACGTAGAAAAAGCTGACTTTGCTATTATTAAAACCCAAATTCCGCGGAATGGAGAACAAAGAGTGCGTAAGAAGAATCAGTAGGACGTAAATAAAGTGTGCTGAGGCAGGACTCTCGTAACTGAAGCACTGCTTCCTCATAGCTCTCCATTAGAATGCATGTGCACAGAGAAAGCCCTGTGTCCACGGTCTCTTGCCACAGAGAGCGCAACGTGCTGTTTCCAACCACACTGATGCTTCTGTTCTCCATGTTCTCCTGCTATCTCTCCACCAAGCCTGCGGTTAGCCTCAGACCTGCCCTGAGAAACACACTAGGTCAAAATTACACAAGGATATGAGTGGTACAAAAACAAAGGCTGAGAGATTTCCTTAAGGCTCTGTGTGAGAAAGCTTTAGCAGACTGCCTTCAGCATGCTATTAGCACAATCCTTTTTATTCTAGCGTATTATTATTAATTTTCTGCCTCTTGAAGCGTATTAGAGGCACATATCAGCAGTCCTGCTTCTGCCAAAGTTACATAATTCACCTAAAATATGAGTGTTGAAGGTAGTCAGGCAAAAAAAAAACAACATTTATGCAAATAAGGCACACTTTCCACTTTAACCCAGATGTGGTCAATCAGCCAAGACATGTTTTGCATCTGAAGCTTGTTTCTTTAGTTTTGCACTGCAGCTACGAGGCTAATGTAGCCAAATCACCACACACTCACCGCCTGTGTTGTTAATAATCTCTACTAGACTATGTGATTATTGTGTATAAAGATGGAGAAAAGTTTGTTAGCACAGCTAAAAACAACAGCAGCCTGAATTTTTGTCCATTTTTATAGATAACCAGAGAGATAACCAAGGCCTTCACGACCTTCAGAGAAGGGCTGAAGGTTTCTGTGACCCAAAAATGCATGTTTGTGCTTCATATTAAACTCTGCAAGTATTACAGTATTGCTCTTATTTCATGCACTTGTTTACATGCACTTAATAATCCAATAACTGCAGAAAATCAGATTTTGTCAGTCATCTGATCAAAGCGTTTACATGCACTTGAGTAATCAGATAATGGGGAAACTTCAGGTCTACATGAGTCAGACAGTCATCGAATTTTTGCTTTGCAACCAGCCAATAAACTCACAGAAGAAGACTCGAACTTCATGCTGCTGCTTTTTTTTAACATCGCGCCACTTGAAAATATGAACATACGCCACTCCAGAAATTTATTTCCAGAAGTTTTTTTTCAGTACTGCAGTCTGTTCTCGTGCATGCGCAGACTATGAAATCCGAAAGAAATCTGAGTAAGTGTTTACATGTGCTGGGAAATCTGATTACTGAGCTAAAACACAGCTCTCTTTATCGGATTTCTTATTCGGATTTCTAGACCTTACTTCGATCTAAGAAATCAGAGTACACTGTTTACATGACCAATAATTAGATAACTGCAGAAATCCAATTATGATTGGATTATTAAGTGCATGTAAACAAACTCATTGTTAAGTTTTGGATGGAAACAAAAGGGTTAAATTCTTGAAATACTCAACAGAAAAATCAGCCAATCAGGAATTGTTTTTCTGTGTGATATCTAGGTAGATATAGCTAAATGGGCTGTCCCATTGGTTAGGACTTCAAGAGCTAAAGAGAAGGCCTAATGTATTACATTAACAATCACGAAGTGATAGAGGAAGCGATCATGTTTTAATTTCCAGTATGGTGGGACCAATTTTTTGAGAGAAAAAGGTCACTCTAGGCCTTCTGGAAGTTTTTGATACGTCACTGACTGTGAAGACGAGCAGCAGCTTACGTTACTGGATTGTTAGAAACGGAAAACAGCGGCACCTCAACACCCCAGCTCTCTACTCAAAGAGTCGCTGTGAAACTGCTACCTGATAAAACATATGCTTCCATGTCTGCCACTTAGGCCCAATCCCATTTCGTCTTTTTACCCCTACCCCTTGTTTTCGAGTGACACCCTAATAATAAGTGGTTGAAAGCTTGCCCTATGAAATGGGACAATGCTCAAATAAAATCATTAACAGCTACTAGCGCTGCTCTGTAGACGACCCGGCCCGTCTTCAGTGATAGCAGAGAAGGATAAAGTTTAGCTCCTCACTGCTGGGCTTTAGTTACATTTAGGGAATCATATGCCTTCAAAGAGGGGGCAATTATTTATTATCGCCCACAGCTAATTTTTTGGTGATATGAAGCTGAAGTCAGATATTCTCCAGCTTCTTGTTCGAATTTTCCCGTTCCACCTTAAATGGTGCAGCAGTTACATTCTGGTGCATCGGCCGTCAGAACTGCTAGACTATTTAAGGTGGAAAGGGAAAGTTAGCTAGCTAGCTACCGAGACATTAGCATACTATTAGCGATTTTTTATGCTTGTTATGAAGAAAACGACCATAATACATTGAAATGACATTAAACTAAGTTTATACAACATTTATCGTAACGTTTTAACAGAGAAAATTCTCACATTTGTGGGTTTCTTTGGTCGCTTGTTCAGCCATCTTGCTGGTTTTTCTTTTTTTCTCATAACGCTCTGTTTGGAGTGAGTCTCTGAAAAATAGCCGTTTGGAGGGCCCCGTAGCCCTAACACTTCGCCCTACCCCTCTATCTCAACAATCTCTTCCTGTTTTGACCAAGTTTCCAATTATGGCTCAAACTAAAGGCCTAGATCTAACAGTCATGGCTCGCTACTATAGATAACAGAGTGTTATACAGTGTCAAAAACTACATGCACAAGTCTACTAGACATTAATTAAAAACTAAACACAGTTTGCGGGTGAGTGTGACAGTTTGCAGATAGCAACATGCTAATTAGTGTGGTTTTAAACTCCCTTTGCTTGCTAGCTACATTAGCCCTGTAGCTCCAGTGCAAAACTAAAGAAGCAAACTTCAGACACCATATATGTCTGAAACTCTATGACACATGTTATGTATAGATAAAAGGACAAAAGTATGTCACATAGTTAAAAACAGTAGTAGTGGCCATGTTAAGACTGAATTTGGTCATCCTGTCCCATATGGAAAAGGAGTACATGTAAAATGCATTTATTAAACACATCATATGAAAACATATGAAAATGGCCAAACGTTTTTATGCTTAATGTACTTTCATGTTTGGAATAAAAATGTCTTTTTTTATGTATCTAACATATGAAAAAGCACATGCACATGTATTTTTCCATATGGGTTTGTTTATTTGTCAGGGGAAAAACTGTAAATTAGATTTTTTTCACCGCACTATTGTTTTAACACTGTGAAAAAACTGGAAAGCAAGCTTTAGAGTCAAGGAGGAAGACATAATAATGCATTAAAGAAGAATTCCACCAAATCTCAATTTATGCATAAATGAATGGTTCAGATGTAAACAAAGTCTTTCAGAGTGATTTGATGTGAAATGTGGTGGTGACAGGAATCAGACATCTGAAGCTTTTAACACCTCCTAAAGCTCCTTCACAGAAAAGGTTGCGAATCATGCTGCTTGATGCAGGAGACCCTGTTTTACCACTGTTTAGCTATTAGGTTTCGGCCTAAAACATCATGTTAAAAGCCATTCATAGCAGAGAGGTACATACAGCGCATTGTAAGACAAAACCAACATTACCATTATGTCACCATCCCCAAAAAAGCTGGACAGAAGGTAAAATGCAAATAAAAACAGAAAAAAGCGATTTGCAAATTCACTTTGATGTTTCTTTCAAGGAAAACAGTATAAAGACAAGATATTTAACGTTTTACCTTTTGAACTTCATTATGTTTTGTAAATATACACTCATTATGAAACTGATGCCTGCAACATATTCCAAAAAAGTTGGGACAGGGCCAGTGTAAGACTAAGATCTTCAGGACTAAGACCTTCATGAGTGAGGACAGGTCGAGGCTCATCACCTTACCAAAACAGTTTAAGTACAACGCTCCATTAAAAACCAACATGTTTGATAATGCAATGTATGAATGTAATGAATTGAATCACATGGGCTCAGGAATACTTCAGAAAACCCTTTGTCAGTAAACACAGTTTGCTGCTGCATCCACAAATGCAAGACTCTACTACACAAAGCAAAACCAAATATCAACAAAATCCAGAAACGCTGCCGTCTTCTCTGGGCTAAAGCTCATCCGAGATGGACTGACTCAAAGTGGAAATGTGTGCTGTGGTCTGATGAGTCCACCGTCTTTGGAAAAATGCACTTTTAATGCTGAGGGCTACATACGCATTTTGGAGGAACATACGCTGCCTTCTAAACATCGTCTTTTTCAGAAACATCCATGCTTATTTCAACATGTTATCACTAATAAACTTTCTGCATGTGTTACAACAGCAGAGCTTGACTAGACTGACCTGCCTGCAGTCCAGACCTGTCTCCAACTGAAAACGTGAATTTGCGAACAGTGTAAAGTGGAACATACAACAGCGGAGACCCCAGACTGTTGAGCAGCTGGAATGTTATATCAAAGAAGTCCCAGGCATCACATTTAGAATAAGCATTTGTATGTACAAAAACAATAACATTCACGAGTTAAAACATGTATATCTAGTCTCTGTTTTAAATTGAAAATGATTTGCAAATCACTGCTGCCTGTCATATTAGCACTTTACCTACCATCCCAACTTTTTTGAAACTGGGTTTGTAAACAAAATGGACATGCACTGGCCCCTGGTTCCTACCACCACCACCACTGTGAGGAAAACCGAGTCATTATGTTTCTCCACAATAAACCATTTCACATCAAACCGCTCTGAATGAGTCTGTTTACACCATAACAATTTAATTACACAGAAAATTTAAAAAATCTGTGAAATTTCTCTTTATGTATCAAATTTTTCAACATTTCTGCCTGCTGCCAGCTGTAGCCAATTCCTGTCAGTATATGACTGTCAGTTAGGTTACAGCTTCGCTATTAGGAGAACAATGGTCCTCTAAAGCACACACTGTTAGAAATAAAGGTTCTGTGCAGGTACATTTTTCGTTCATCGAGGTACAAACAATGTAAATGTTCCCTCAAAGCTACAACAGTGGTTTTAAGGTCTGATTGTGAACCTTAAATAAGTTTTTCCAGGTGAAAAGTTCGTATTTGTACCTTTTTCATAACCGAATGTTTTAAAACAGTGAAATAAAAGCCTGGAGGCGAGACGGGGTGTGTGGAGTCAGTACAGCTTAGAGAATATCATTTCAGTAGATTATGGTTCAGTTATGTTCCCTGACTAAAGGAACTGAGATGTACCCTTGAGGGTACCACCCCAGTGACAAGAGGGGTCTTGCCCCAGTGACAGTTTCATACCTTTTTTTCTAAAAGTGTACGAAGCACATCTGTTAAAACTGCCTAATAGTTTGCCGAGCAGCATAAAGCGGACAGTGCAGTCAGGATATAAGTACACACGATAAAATGCATGTAGGCATGTGTCAGTAAAGCATGCTAACGCCACATAGTTAATGCCTTTATAACACACAGCAAATGGTCTGCAGATTCAAGGCAGCCCGTTTCTGCAGTGACCAGGATCAAACCAGCTGAAGGAGAAGACGCCGTATTATTTTCAAGAAAGCTGCAGTTTACACTTGGCTGGTAATGTGAGAGTGTTGTTCATGCATGTAAACATTCTCTCTCTCGCTTCACTTATAATGCCATTTCAGGCGTCTTCTGCTTCTGTTCATTCTCATAAAGTTTACACTTCACCTGTCCACAGAGAAGACCTCCTGCTAGTAAACACGCTCTCCTCAGTCTAAAACAGAGACAAACACACGTGAGACAAACAAACCACACAGTTTAAAGTGATACTTCAGCAAAAAATCTAACTTACACAGCTCCCCCTCCCCCTTAGCCTAAATGTAGTCAATCAGCCAATACTAGAGAGGTTTTGGGTGAAAATGGTAAACAACAGCACTTTGGGTTTTCAGCCGAAAATGCTGAAAGTTTTTATTAAAAAAACAAAGATTAAATAGACCTACAGCAAAGTGGTGAAATCCAATGCTGTGTTTGACTTGACTCAGAGGTGGAAAGTGCATAATTTTCAACCTCTGCACGTTTGGGCTCCAAAACATGGAGGCCTCCATGAAAGTGAACATTGAGTGTGTTTACATGCACTCAATAATCTGATCATAATTGGATTTCTGCAGTTATCTGATTATTTAAATGGCCATGTAAACACCATACTCTGATCTAGAAATCTGATTAAGGAATCTGCTAAAGAGGCTGGATTTTAGCTCAGTAATCAGATTTCTCAGTGCATGTAACTCTTACTCTGATTTCTTTCGTATTTCTCGCTCTGCGCATGTGTGAAAACAGACCGCAGTACCGGAAATAAGCAAGCAGCGATGCCAAGAGATGCAGCAAAACACTGAAACCAAACACGAAATGAAGGATTTAAATATTCTTCATCTTCTAGGTGATGTTTGTTCATATTTTCAGATAAAGTGGTGTGATGTTTAAATAAAGCCGCGGCATGAAGTTTGAGTTTTACATTACGTTTACATCACGTCTTCTTCTGTGAGTTTATTGGCTGGTTGTAAAGCAGAAATCCGATTACTGTCGGACTCATTTAGACTCAGAGTTTCCGCATTATCTGATTACTCAAGTGCATGTAAACGTGTTGATCGGATTACTGACAAATCTGATTTTCTGCAGTTATCGGATTATTAAGTGCATGTAAACGCACTCATTGTTAGCAACAAGCTAGCCAGCTAATGTTAGTGATCTGATTAACATTCATGATGTATTTACCCTCTCAAATAGTAACTTTATGGTCAGTGTTATAGTTTAAATAACTACTGTGTTTGTATGTTGGCTGATCTAAAGCAAATACTACTATAATGTCAATTAAAAGTAGAGAAGTGCTTCTATATTACTGCTGACGGTGTGAGCAGCCACGTTAATTGACATCATACGCTGAGCTTGGAGAAAACACCATCATGACTTTCTAGAAGGAATTCCCAGCTGAGGGGGGTTTTCTTAGATCTTTTGGAGTCGGAGGTGAAATGGAAGGGAAATGGAAGGTAGTTATGAGCTTCAGTCGAATGCAGCATAACAATTTTAGTGGTAATAAAATGCATCTTCGTTTTTCTGTGCCGTTTCTTTTTATTTCACAGTCTCTACAAGGAACATTAGACAAATGATCTATAATCCCTATTCATACCGAGTATCAAGAGCAGACATAACATCCAAGATCTTCTCCACTACAGGTTTTATACCACCTGAAAACATGACCTGATAAGCAGAAAACAGCAGAACAACAGAAGCAAAAGGTCGCTGCGAGAACGCCACTGCCGTCTGTATAACTGAAAAAAATAATGCATTTCATTGCTTTTGATGATCAACAACCGTCATCAAGGACATTTTGTGGCACAAACTGTAATTATTTATTGTCAGCTTTTTTCATTTTTGGTTTTCAGCCCAGTCCAGTGTGTCCTGAATTTCAGCTTTGGCTGATGTTTGTAGTATGACTTTTTTAAACTTGTAATTTTTTTTAGTTTTACATGGAAGCTACATGGCTAATGTAACAAGTTATGGAGGTTTTTGTCCACCAGTTAGCATGGTGCTAACAGCATGTCTAAATCATCACACATTTGTCTCAAACTGTGTTGAGTTGTTTGATAATCTAATTTTTGTAGCTAGTACTGTGTCATATGGTAATGAATTTAAAGATTTAAGCATGCAGTTAGCACAATGCTTACTGGTGGGGTATAAGCTTCCACCGCATGTTAGGTTAAGGCATAGAAGGACATACATTTTTATTACTTACCTAACCTAAACAAGTAAACTTTGCATGTCAAACATATTGGCTGATTGACTACATTTGATGGAAAAATGACAATTTTTGAACACAATTGCAAAATTGCATGTCGCAGTTTGATAGTAAATGACATTTCAGGAATATTTTCTTTCTGTTTTTTTAAACTCACGTCGGCGAATCCTGATTGGCCAGAAGATCATGGTGAAGAGACAGAAACCAGCAACAAGGGCCACGCCTCCAGTTACCGTTACCATGACAACATGGTAGAACCACATGCATTCCGAGCAGCAAACCAACGTGCTGTTATAACAGACAACACACAACAACACACAACATTGTAGTCATACCTACATACTCCAACAGACAATGAGCTACATACTCACACAAACAACACAGCCATCCATTAAAACAAAGACCGTCTGATTCTACAGCAGCGTCAGCATTTCTGAAATGAACCCATCATTCCACAAATGAAGTCAGTCTGAATGTCCTTGTCGTCCTCTCTGTCTGCTACTTTAAGCTTCTATTCTACTGACCCGCTGGCTTTGCTTTCAGTGCATGTATTGCGCACTGCTTACCGGCAGGGGTACAGACCCTGGATCAGCATGACTGCCAGGCCGTTGGCCACCTTGTCTGTGAAGCTCATTGCTCCGTACACAAACGCACCGCTTTGCTTTAAGAAGAGGAAGAAAAAAAACAATAAATTGTTATTCAGTTATTGGCAGCACACAATATTTGAAATACAAATTCACTGTTGGACTATCAGAAATATACACTGCAAAGATCTTGTATCGGCAGGTAAATGTAGGCAATATGTTTAATATTTCTCATTTTGAGACTGATGTAAGATTATTCAATTTATTATTTTTTATTTTTATTTTTGCTTGCCTTAAACAATTTTTATTAAGTGAAGTTTTGTGTATGTATACATACACACGCACACACACTATAAATATATATATATATATATATATATATATATATATATATATATATCAATCACACACACACACACACACACACACACACACAGTGGTGTGAAAAAGTGTTTGCCCCTTCCTGATTTCTTATTCTTTTGCATGTTTGTCACACTTAAATGTTTCAGATCGCCAAGCAAATTTAAATATTAGACAAAGATAACAGAAGTAAACACAAAATGCAGTTTATAAATGAAGATCTTCATTTTTAAGGGAGAAAGAAATTCAAACCTACAGGGCCCTGTGTGAAAAAGTGTTTGCTCCCTAAACCTAATAACTGGTTGGGCCACCCTTAGCAGCAACAACTGCAATCAAGCATTTGCGATAACTGGCAATGAGTCTTTTACAGCACTGTGGAGGAATTTTGGCCACTCATCTTTGCAGAATTGTTGTAATTCAGCCACGTTGAAGGGTTTCCGAGCATGAACCGCCTTTTTAAGGTCATGCCGCAGCATCTCAATCGGATTCAGGTCAGGACTTTGACTAGGCTACTCCAAAGTCTTCATTTTGTTTTTCTTATGCCATTCAGAGGTGGACTTGCTGGTGTGTTTTGGATCATTGTCCTGCTGCAGAACCCAAGTGCGCTTCAGCTTGAGGTCACCAACAGATGGCCGGACATTCTCCTTCAGGATTTTTTGGTAGACAGCAGAATTCATGGTTCCATTTACCACAGCAAGTCTTCTAGGTCCTGAAGCAGCAAAACAGCCCCAGACCATCACACTACCACCACCATATTTTACTGTTGATATGATGTTCCTTTTCTGAAATGATGTGTTACTTTTACGCTAGATGTAACGGGACATACACCTTCCAAAAAGTTCAACTTTTGTCTCGTCAGTCCACACAGTATTCTCCCAAAAGTCTTGGAGATCATCAAGACGTTTTCTGGCAAAACTGAGACGAGCCTTTAAGTTCTTTTTGCTCAGCAGTGGTTTTTGTCTTGGAACTCTGCCATGCAGGCCATTTTTGCCCAGTCTCTTTCTTATGGTGGAGTCATGAACACTGACCTTAACTGAGGCAAGTGAGGCCTGTAGTTCTTTGGATGTTGTTGTGGGGTCTTTTGTGACCTCTTGGATGAGTCGTCACTGCGCTCTTGGGGTCATTTTGGTTGGACGGCGACTCCTGGGAAGGTTCACAACTGTTTCATGTTTTCGCCATTTGTGGACAATGGCTCTCACTGTGGTTCACTCGAGTCCCAAAGCTTTAGAAATGGCTTTATAACCTTTTCCAGACTGATAGATCTCAAACACTTTGTTTCTTATTTGTTTCTGAATTTCTCTGGATCGCAGCATGATGTCTAGCTTTTGAGGATGTTTTGGTCTACTTCACTTTGTCAGGCAGGTCCTACTTAAGTGATTTCTTGATTGAGAACAGGTGTGGCAGTAATCAGGCCTGGGTGTGGCTAGGGAAATTGAACTCGGCTTTCCAAAGATGTGATAAACCACAGTTAATTTATGTTTTGACGGGAGGGGGGGCATCACTTTTTCACACAGGGCCCTGTAGGTTTGGATTTATTTTTCCCTTAATAATAAAGACCTTCATTTATAAACTGCATTTTGTGTTTACTTGTGTTATCTTTGTCTAATATTTAAATTTGTTTGGTGATCTGAAACATGTAAGTGTGACAAACATGCAAAAGAATAGGAAATGAGGAAGGGGCAAACACTTTTTCACACCACTGTATACATATATATATATATATATATATACACACACACATACACACACACTTTCTTGTATCTACACAGATGGACAGACAAACAGATGGACTTAATGAACAGTCAGTATATATATTGTAGTGACCTGCTACTGGCTGGCGCTGGCCCTGGCTCTGGGGGCGTGGCTATGCAGACGGCCACACACAAAGTCTCATGGCAGCCATGCACTCTCCAACAAAAAGACTATTTGTGTTGTTTAAGGTAGTTGTTTGTTAGTTATACGTATGTGTAGGTGTTATTTGTGATATTTTGTGTCAGGGTGTGGGGTTGGTTTAGTGGGTCGAGTGTTTACTATAGATGAGAGTGGTATGGTTATCAGTGACGTCCCCGCTATTCCGGTCTGTGTGTGCTTCTCTGTTGGTGTGATACAGAACACTTCTCACAGCAGAACCAAAGCTGTGTCTTTCTCTATGTTGACGCTACAATATCTGTATACACATGCACGCATGTACGTACACAAAAGTTTGAACACCTCCTGGTCAAATTATATGTGATGTTGATTTTCAAACTGAAAAAAAAACACATCCTCTACAAGCAAACTTACTATTTATTTACTTGAGCTTAAAGCTACACTATGCAACATGCAAAAAAACATTTTGTAACATGGGTTGTGCTTTGCACCCCTTCCCCAAGTGGATGAATCTGATGATTAGGAGCATGCTGAAACAAAATTCAAAGAGAACTCAAACAAAACTTGGTGAAGGACGTGTCTTTTGAGGATGTGCGTTAATTCTCTATTATTGTCATCATATCTTCTTCAGTATAATGTTGATAGTACAGTGCATATATGTATATATGTACATGAAGATAAATGTATGTATAGTATAATGCTCTTCTTCTTTTTGAGCCTGTGCGTGTGATGATAATATGTAAAGACATACGACATGGTATGGAAAACTCCAGAAAAACTTGAAACTCAACCCGACGCCATTGACTTTTAAATGATTATTTCAGGCTTACAGGGCGATTTGCAGTGGTGTACACACTGCTGTTTTTTTCTGAGTCAGTAATGCTCTTCCTTAAATTGTAAACGTACATAGTGCATCTTTAACATATTGGAAAAAAATATTTAACGTACTGAATATTTAGTACTAAATGTACTAAATATTAAATGTAGCTTTTGCACTGGCCAAATTTTCAGTTTTTTTCCCCTAATATGTTAAATTCATCAAATAAACTGAATTTATGCATTAAAGTGATGCTTTGACTTGCCAAGATGGCAAAACACAAACTGTGGTCAGTGGCTAAGACTCAAAACTAAGGTCTGACTGACGAGAAAATTTTGGAGCCGATGTCGGCAGAGCTGCAGCCAGAATAGTTGGTTATTAAGAGCGTTATTTTCGTAGATACCAATAAAAGCACCAAACTAGACCCTACCGTCTGATCTCCAATTAGATTAGCTGTCATGGACAGCGACATGACCAGAATGATGGCAGATCCAGATCCAAGCAGTACGGCCGCTCCGTACACCCGAATGCCCATCTGCAGGTCAAGCAAAACCCAGACAGCAAAGCCCAGGATGGGCACCAGGCCTAGAAAATATGTCATCTGAGAACAGAGAGAGAGACTTCACGTTACTGATTTTCATTAAAACACAGAAGGACATTAAACTACAGACTAATGAATGTAGTGATAATACGTAGTGCACCAATGTGCAACATTACTGTACATATTGCACTTCTGCACACCTCAACACACATTTTGCACATCTTGACACTCCACAACTGGTCATTTTATTTCAGTACCATTATATGCACATATTTATTTAGTATTGTCATTATATGCTGTATATTATAGTTTATGCGCATCCTTGTACATCCATCATGGCACTGCCTTTTTTTATCTCAGGATAGATTTATTGCATTTTTTTGTATAGTTTTATTTGTATATATGCGTGTAGATAGGTATGTTTTGTACATATTCTCCTTTTTTTATATTGTATCACCCTTATTATTATTACTGGCCTATGTTGTGTGACTGCTACATGTCCTTCGGGATCAATAAAGTGTCTGTCTGTCTGTCTGTCTGTCTGTCTCTCATTGCACACTGATGCCACTAACTGGCAAAGAGACATCTTTACGGTCAAAGAAAATGTGAATTGAGTATTTTTCATAGTGCTGTGTTCTTACATATGTTTGGATGTACTACTAGCAGTGGCGTGCTACTTCGACATAACAGTGGCTAGTGTGATGATGTTATCGTGATCAGTTTCTTCACAATGTGCTTTTAAATATATAATGGGTATAGTCAGTACTTCTAGGACACTGAGCAAAAAAAGAGATTTAGACTTATTATAGAGAATCTGTAAACACCACCAACAACACCAACAACAACAATCCGTTCATTCAACAACTTATGTACTTATAATTTTCCATAGTCTTTCTTAATGCAGCACTTCTGTTTTGATGGTGCATGTTGTCCACTTTCAAGGCCTTTGTTTGACATAAATAAATTGACTCTAAGACATGCATAACTAGCATTATCTTGCACAAGTTTTTTAGGACGAAGAAAATGCCACATTATTTTACTCACCCTCTGTAGGATTTTTGCAAACTTTTGACAGGAACAGAAACACTCTAAAACCAATCAGTGTTGTCTCTAGTGTGGACATGGCAACAACCAAGCTTGTGGATGGGCTGTGTCCCAGCACCTAGAACTTTTTTTGAAAAATGTCTAAATCAGGGGTTGGCAACCCGCGACTCCGGAGCTGCATGCAGCTCTTTTACTGCCCTGTTGTGGCTCCACAGCAGATTTAGATTTGTAGGTAATAATAAAATAGTCCTCCTTTACAGTAAAATAAAGCTCTGCTGATCGTTCAACACAGTTTAACAGTAAATGGTCTTAAACGCTGGAGTTAATGTAGAACTGCTAATTCACCCTTTAACCCTGAAGGATGGCACGTAGACTGCTGGTCACCGTAGCAACGCAGACAACAATCTGGACTAGCTAGTAGCTAACGAAAAGGCAAAAGAGAAAAATGTAAGACAAACATCCATTTTTTGGAGATGAATGGACTTATTTGTGTTTATAATCACTCCAGCTGGTTTCCTGATACGTTTTAATCTGCAACAAAAAACTGTCAAACACTACTGACACAAGTCAGCTGTTCTTTTGCCAGCTTCTTGGTCGAATCTCCCCGTTCCACCTTAAATAGTGCCTGAGGCGCTACAATGTAACTGCTGCACCATTTTACAAGAAACTATTCCACTTTTGCTTTAAAGTATCCTGCCGGAGATGCGAGAAAAACGGCTAAAACTGAGCTAAAGCTTAAAGCAAAGTATGTCTGCGGTTTCAATTATATTAGATTTTTAGCCTATAGCTAGTACATCAGCACATACTGACACATATTTATGCCCAAATGGTAAAATGGGCATTAAATGTTGTGGCTCCCAAGGTGGTTTGATTTTTGCTGAAAGGACAAAATGGCTCTTCTTAACATTCGGGTTGCCGAGCTCTGATCTAGATGATTAGCATCTCCAAAAACAGCTCAAACTGAATTACAGGGATCAGAGCTGTGTGCAAAAGTGCTACTAGATCTTCAGCTCCTGAATGCGGTGATCAAACTGTCTGTTCTCCTTCTATTTTTTCTTAAATGCAACATAGCCCACCCGATGTCACTGTTTATTCATTGTATAGGGAGATAAGATGGTGTTTTTGCACTTGAAGACATTCAGTATAAACTTGGATGTAAAGGTTTAAACACTGGACAAATTACATGTTTTGTTGATTTTCTAAGCGTAAATAAGTGAACACATCCTCTACAGAGAACTCACTTCTGCACATTTTAATACGCAATTACTGTTTATTTACTGAATTTAACACACTGGAAAAAAACTATTGCTGCCTGCGCAAAAGTAATGACACATTTTATATTTTTACATATTATTTTTATTTTCCAATATGTTAAACACAGTACATAAATAGATATTGTGCACTGAAATATGGCAGAAAATCCCATATTTAAGTTCTCTCATTTTCTCTTCAACAAAACATGTAATTTGACTGGGCTGAGTGTTCAAGTTGTTGAAGGGACTGTGTGTTTGTTTCTCCTTGCTGTGTCTAAGTTTTGATATGAAAAAGAATCCTTCCAAATATTTCACATTTTCATATCACTTATTGTGTCGCATTTGGTGTGTAATATCCTTAAAGGGGAATTCCACCCCTTTGGTTAAGACGGTTAAGAATGGTTAAGATGTAAACCTGTGGTCACCAACCCTACTGGAGATCTGCCTTCCTGTGGAATCTAGATGCAGGTTGGAATTAAACTCTGGAAAGAAGATCTCCAGGAGGAAGGTTGTGACCACTGATGTAAACAGTCATTCAGAGTGGGTTGATGTAAAATTCTAGAGAAACTTACTGAGTCAGAATTGGTCACAGTGGTGGTGATATGAACCAGACGACTGAAGAGTTTAATGCCTGTAAAAGCTCCATCAGAGAAAGCTGTTACATGAAATGGTTATTATTACGCTGCCTGATGTCTGAGACATCGATCTACGATAGATTTGAGATATGCTTTTGGCCTAAAACTTAAATTTTTTAAACCCATTCATGGCGGAGAGGCACATGCACTGTGTTGTGAGGCAATATAGTCCCCTAAGAAAACTTCTTTTTTCAGATTTATCACTTTTGACATTAAATATAAATACTCAAAAGACACAAATGGGTTTACTGGTCATTTCCAACATTAAATAAGATGTATATATTTGCTTTGTAGACATTGCGACCTCTGGTTCCTATCACCACCACTGTAAAGAAAAGTTTCTTTACCATTTCCAAACCATTTCACATCAAACCTCTCTTTGTCACACTTTGTTCACTTTTGAATGACTGAATTAAGCAGAAATTCTGAATAATTGGTGGATTTTCCCTTTAACTTCATAAACCTCAGGAAAACTGAACATTTTGATATGTATTTATTGTGAAAATGTCAAGTATTGTGATATTTGGGCTCCTTATAATTTAGCACAGCAGTATGTTGCCTTAGATGCAGCCATAGCAACCATAACTGGAACAATAATAAGAGAACAGAAGGACACGGATATACGATAAATACTGTACATTTAATCCTCATACTGCGCCTTCAAATAGCAGAGTGAACCTAGCTCATGGGCTTATGTGAAGCCATTTCATGTAGGATGCTGATAATTAGAAGAGGCGTGTGGACTCACGGTGGTGCCGATGCGTTTGCTGGCCGGCTTCATGGCCAGAGAGGACACAAACCCACTGACGTAGATCACCAGAGGAATAGTGGCGATGTATTTCTGCGGACACAGCACAGCTTCCATTTAGTACAACAAATAAAGGTTATTCTATAACGGTTCTATAACCTCAACCACAAAATGTGCCATAATAATAAATCTCGATCGACTGACCGATTGATTTGTTTGTTGTTTAGATAAAAGTAAAACCTCCTTTACCTTAGGCAGTAATAAAGAATTGATCAGGAACATAGAGATATAGGTCTGAGAGAGGTTGACGATGAGTCGAGTGCACATGTAAAGAACAGCCACCTGCAGAACAAAAACACAACAACTTCACTTACGTTCTTATTTGAGCGCTGCACAAATGACCAAATTAGCCATTTCAACCTCCAATATTGGAAAAAAAAAAATCTAGCCAAACATGCTACCAACTGGATTACAGCCAAGCATTTTTTGTTAAAAACAGCTGCACTCAGCAAACGTTCACTGCTGAATTGTGTTGTCATTGGAGATGATGTTATGATGAACTTCACATCATTAAAAGGGATTTTTATACAGTTTCTGCATAATCAACTAGTTTAAGCTACACTATGTACAATTTGGGGATTTGGAGACCTCTCTGGTGGAAACATGTAATTGCATGCATCTCTTAAAAGAACATTTCACAATGTGGGCTGGCTTCAGACCCCTTCACAGAGCGGATGAATCTGATGATTGTGTGTGCGCTGAAAAAGTACTCAAAGAAAACTTGGTGAAGGGCGTGTCTTTTGAGGATGTGAGTGAATTGTCCATTATTGTAATCAAATCGTTGTCAGTATAATGTTGATTTAAAGACCTAAACATCGAGACAGACCTTCTTAAGCCTGTTCGTGTGACGTTAATGCATACAGATGTGATGCCCCAACCTGGTGCATCTGACTTTTTCGCAGCAGAGCACAGACACCGTATTTTAGCCTGGTTATTATCTCCTGTCTTAGTAAAATACTTCTTTCAATTTTAACCAAAGAATTTGCATAGTGCAGCTTTCAGACATTAGCTTTAAGAAACTTGCTGAGTCCGAAGTGGTGGGGATGTGAAACTAGACATCCACCTCTAAAAGCTTCCTCACATGGGTTATAACATGAAACGGCGATGCACTGATTGTTTGATGAGACATTGTTTTATAGTTTTTGGAAGGTTTAGACCCAAAATGTATTTTTAAATCCACTATTGGGCATGCAATCAAATCAGTCCACAAAGAAAACTTACATCTTTTAGACTTTTCACAATTTTATCATCATCAACATTACATAAACTTGTTAACGTGTAGGTTCACTGGTGGTTTTGGATAGTAAATAAAATGGCACTGTACACATTGTGCCACCTGGTTTCACATTTTGACCGAGTTTGACTGAGATGGTGAGATTGCAAACTAAAGAAACTGTAAAGAAACAGTTTCACATTAAACCGATTTGAAAACCTCATCATAGGAAAGAGAAAGCAGAGAGCTTCAGGCATTTGTCCTTCTCCTAAACTTTATCAGGCATGTATGGTCTCAGATGCAGCAGTGCTGAGTCACCTGATAGAAGGAGGGCTCAGTAAACCAGTGTTTCCACTGCAGCAGAGGCCTGGTGCTCGAGCTGAGGTCAGGCAGCAGTGGGTGTCCCTCTCCCGTCTCATCCCGGTACTGAACGCTCTCCCTTGTGCCCAGGTGGAAGATGAAGGAGAAAATGGCACCAATACCCAACACGATCAGCGCCAGGTCCTGAAAAAGAGCAGAGAAATTCAGTGCTTTGACTTTGACTATGATAAATTATTGTTGCAGCTTTTACATGACTGTTTTCCAACCTCTGTTTATCACTTGGAATTAACAGGCTGTTTTTGTTACTGTGTCTTTAAGTCTGATATACATGAGCTCTGTCCTGATTGGCTGTTCTCTATAGTGCCTCTTTTACATCACAAAAATAGTTCAAGACAGGCCTTTTTTGTAAGCTTGGTTTCAGTGTGTAGATAGTATGAATGCCATGTTTTGAAGTTTGCAAACTCTTATTTTACAAAAAATAGGAAAATTCAGTTTTTCATGATATGGTCCTTTAATAAATTCACAGCCTTAAAACCACTGATGAGTATTAGAATCTGGGCTACTGCTTTGGTTAGAATACAGGCAATGCACAAGTCTTAAAGGGACAATATCATAGAAAATCGAATTTCCCTCACTTTCTTTGGAATAGAAGAGTTTGATGTCATTTGTGAACCTTAACATTTCAAAACCTATTGTTAACTTTACAGTCCATGTAAAACATCACACATGGACCTCAGGGAAGAAAAATAAAAAAATAAGACAAACGTAAGATATGGGCCTTTTAAAAGGTGCAGCTGTCTTGGCAGATCTGCATACTGGCTCTTGATGTATTGTTATTTTGTTCACCATCCCACAAAGGCAGTTAGGCTGTATTAAAAATAAAACACCAGATCTGGCACTAGATCTGAACATTACACGTTATTTAGAAACAAATAAATAAATAAATAAATAAATGACTCAAAAGTAAGGACACAGAGCTGAGCCCTGATCAGCGCCAAATCCACAATAAGATCAGTACAGAATGGCAAGGGTGGGAGAAATCCCACCGGTAGCAAACCAAGCAGATTTCGAGGCTCTTAATCCTTTTTGGCTTTGTGACTAAATTCTTGATGAGTACTGTAAGTTTAACAAGGCTGGATAAGCCAGGGAAAACCTAAACAGCTGCAAGTCACACAGCAGAGTGAAAAAACAACACTATTTGATCTGCAAAAAAAAAAAATGCTTTGTTTACAGCATTTGAAGTCAGCTGATCTTCACATTGTGTGATCACTTCATGATAAATGAAAAAAAAAAATGGTCCAAATACATGAATAAAATACTGCTACATTAACCTACATTAAGGTTAAACATTAGTGAAGCCCCGAAAAAGAACTAATATATATATATATATATATATATATATATTTCTGACAGCAGCAATATATATTAGAAAGCATAAATATAATGGTAAATTATATACATATAATATGTATAATTTACCATTATATTTATGCTTTCTAATATCGCTGCTGTCTTTAATATCTTTTGCTTCTTAGTGCTTCACTAATGTTTAACTTTAAATGTAGGTTAATATAGTAATATGTAATATTTCTTGGCCTCCTGAAGGCATCTAAGGATGCATATATCTACTATGATGATAGAGACAACCTTGTTTTTTAATATGTAAATCACAATCAGGTGGCTGTAGAACTCCTGTCTAGCAGTCTGAAGTTTCTCCTGCAGGGGGCACTTCTAGAACCCTTTAGTGTTTGTCATTTAGAGAAAAAAACAGTCATGAACCCACACCAACAGGATCCAAAAAGCGCCCATATTTACAGCAACAACTTTTAAAACCAGAGGTGAAAAAGTTTATTACCAAAAGACATTTTGTTATTCAGTTACTCATTATCATTTATTAAATTCCAATAAATATAATAAAATAATTTTATTACATTAATTAACGGTGAAAAGCTAAGCTAATAACTGCAGAGAACGCAGCTACAGTGGGGCATGTTTAAGTGTTTCACTGTTGATCTGCTGCTAAAACTGTTTGAAAGCATCTGTGCTGACCAGTGCAGTTCATAATCGCTATTTCTCATTTTCATTATCGTTGAAAGTGTTCGATTTTAACAGTTCATTTGAGACTCATTTCATCTTATGCTGTTTTCTGCCTTTTTCTCTTTCAGACAAAAACGAAAAAGCCACTCTCGACTGATATCAGCCGATAATATCCAGTGGACGGAATTTCGGTGCCTCCCTAATGAGCACGTCTCCTCTCCTACAAAGTTGCCATTTCAAAGACATAAAGTTTTGCAACAACAGTGATGTAGTGATTCTCTCACCCTGAATATTGGGATGTCCAGCTGACTCAGGTGGTCAGCCACGGACGGATCAGCTGCGTGCTGAAAGTGAAACAGCAGCCAGGCCACTCCGTAGACCGTGATGTTTGCCATCACTGTGAAAGCATATCTGTAGGAGGAAGAAACCTGTTCTTTCAAGCGGCATTCATGGAAAAACAAAACAAAATAACTTATTAAATTATGGTCATTCAGTTTAACTGTGCCTTTTCACCTCAGTTTACTTAAAGAGACACACCGGCCAAATAAAAACACTTAACCATCACTACATCTGTTGTAAACAAGCCTACTCACCTCGTACAGAGGTGCCACAATAGTGAGCACTTTTAAAATTTAAAGGCTACGAAAATCCCCCTCTGATGATGCATTTTGAAGGTGGGAGGAAAAACTACAAGCACTTTGGGGAGTGTACATGAGGGCAGGCAGTGCGAAATGTTTCCTTCCCACACTAGCAGGCTGTCATAGAAGGAAGCTAGATAGCCAACGTCACTTCTAGAACGTATTTAGTAGCCTCTATACCAGTGCATTTCTTTATTGCCACTGGGGGGATTCCCACTGGTTGTTTGACCTGTTTTGCAATGTATGCTGGGTACTGTAGTGAAATAATACTGATGGACAAAAATGCAAAAAAGAGACAAAACTGTAAATTGACAAACCAACATGTATGAAGTACACAATGCTGCGCTACAGAATATTACCTAACACAGCAAACAATATTAAATGCTAGTTTTACACCAGAATGCCCCTTTAAGTAAATAATCTCAATGAAATTTGGAACTGAGGCACCAGGCATTACGCAATGCTAAAAGTGGTCCAACATTAAGGACCACTGAGCCAAAAAGGAACTGCACTTGCATGTAAAACGTGCAGCAGTTTGGCACGAGCCAAACAACCTCATGTTCAAGCTTCAGCAGGACTTTGTAGAAACGCCGAGGATTTGGCTAAGAACCACTTCTGTTTGGGCTTTATTTTGGCTGTTGTGCTGTAATATGTAAACATACTGTAACTGTATCTAGTAACACAAGCTAATCTCCACAGTCGAGTGCAACACGAGGACAGACGCTTAGAACACGGTGCTGAGTCTGATTTCCTTGTACTCTAACACAAGACTTTTTTTAAAGTACTTTCCCCATCAACTCACTTAACCAGAACCACATTCGTCTCTTTTACTCTCTTCTCATTTCAAACATAAACTCCTAAGAATCCGTCTGAGGAAAGAACTTCTTCTTGTGTGGTTTCTTTCCCAGTGTGGGATGATAAACGCATCATATGACTAAAACAGTGCTCTGAGAATCACTTCCTCATACACTCCCTTCCAGCACTCTGACTCCGCTTTCGGGGGCAGGTAAACCTTCTAGAAAGGTTAAAACTTTCCCCTCTTATCCTGAATGTTTGGTGTCTGAAGTTTGCTTCTTTAGCTTTTTGATACGAGGCTAATGTAGCTAATAAGCAAGGAAAGCTTATAGCTATCAATTAGCATGTAAACCGTTCGCTTTAAACTCCCTGTTTCCTGTAGAACACCTTTAGATCACATTAAGAAAGTATCAGATGCATTTAGAATCAGCCAGTGGCCACCTGTTAAACCATTAGGGTTCTTTACATTGTGATAGAAACCCATTAAAAAGCCAACACACATTACAAAACCCATCAAAAAAGCCAAAACACAGGAACCAATAGAAACTCTTAATGATTTTCATGTTTTTTCTGTGTCAAGTTCAAATCGACTTGCTTATGGTTCAGCCAAAGATCTAATTTACACAGTAACACCCCCTCCACCAAATACCCCACAACCCCCCCACAAATACCCCCAACCCCCCCCTTACCCAAAATCGAGTCAATTAGCCAAGAAACATTTGGTATCTGAAGTTTGCTACTTTAGTTTTGCACTGGAGCTACGTCCCAGATAGCTAGCATATATTGGCCCACTGGCTGTTCACCACTGCTGGTCCAGCCTGGGACCACCCAGATTACTGACCTGCATACAACGTCTAACTAGTTTTTATTTTCCTCAAAACAGGTTTTAAATGGACACAGACTTTTATTTTGAAAAAATAAAGGCAAATGTAACAAACAATTCAGAGAAAATCTATGATGGGCCTTTTGTTGAAAATGTTGTTGTTGACACTGCGCTGGATTGGCTACAGCTGTATAACCAGCTTTATTAATGATATTACTGGTGAATTATTTAATAAGCTAATTTACAAAGGATAATGAAAGAAAGAAATGAAGGAAAAATAAGTACATCTCCAAAAAATGCTGAGCAAAAAGCCAGCAGGCCGCCAGCTTTGCTGTCAGTAGTCCAACAGTGGCCTGCTATCCTCTAGCTATCTACACAGACTAATGTAGCTAACAAGCAAAGGAAGGTTATAGCTGTCAATTAGCATGGTGCTAACAGCATGTCTAAATCAATGCTTCACACAGTGTTGGGTTGTCATGTAGACCTCAAAGGATCTGCTTATGGCTCAGACAAAAATCTACGCCAAATGTAGCTGATCAGCCAAGACGTGTTTGTTTCTTTAGTTTTTTACTGGAGCTACGAGGCTAACATGACAGAAATCTAGTGTCAAATTTCATTTCTCCAAAATGGTAACTTTACAGGAGAAGGAAAAACGTCTTTCACTTCTAATGTGACTGAATGTAACAGCGGTTTATTCCCAGGGATTTCGGACCATTCAAAACTGGGTCAAAGCTAAGAAACAGTGAACCTGAGCTCAGATTAGCGTAAAAACACAGCTTCCATCAGACAACCTTTCCACTAGTGATGGAAAAATGCATTGTGATCAGGGATGGGTATTACAGTTCAGCATTTTTATGGTACCAACTGAATTATTTCAACACTACAGACTCAGAGTATTGAAAATCTCATTCAATACACATTTCAACACCATATTTGAGCCAATAAGCATGCATGTTCCAAAGTGTCGACTGCTGATTGGCTGACAAAATTTCATTCCGCATGCATGTTAACATCAGTTCCTATTTATCTTTTGTGATTCTTTTTTTATTATTTCCTATTTAAAGAAAAGCCCGTCTGGTCCAACCCCGACCCACAACCACATGGGCCTTCAACACAAACTGATTATACTTCTATCACAGCTCACATGAAAACTGGGCTACACTATTTACAACCTAAACACATACAGTTAGGCACACAAAAGGGGCCTTTACTTTGGATATTCCATCATTCCATGTATGAAGAGTCCAAGGAGCTGCACTGTAAATGCTGGCAGATGATAGTTCTAGATAGTGGATGTCCAATAATGTACAGAGCCAGTAATGTATAGACAGGTTATGAGGGGGTAGCCAACAATGGACGATTACTTGTCTTTATATATATATAGCCATATATTCTGGGATGTTGCCGTGAGGGGAAAACCTTGAGTCATCATTCAGCAAATTAGGGTCAGGATCCATGAGGAAGTATTCAAAGAAGAGATACAATCAACTACCGTCCCCAAAAAGACATACATTTTGGGCAGTCCCACAAAATGTGCATAAAGCTCCCCGTTAAGTGTCTTCTCTTGGTGTCAGATAAGCTCTGTGGCAGATTTTTAGATTGATGAATTGATGACTGGGGTTATGTGACGCCCCAAAGACATTAGCTCATGCCATTTCCCAGTTTACCCACCTTCCCCTCTGTTCCATAACTCTATCCCATTTGCCCAGTAATATTTACAGATACATGTGACATAAACTTGGCATAAATAAAAGATCCTATTCTTTTGGGAGCCTCTGATCCAGCTAATCATTTGGTGGACTTTCAGATCTGAACCCCACGCGACAGCATGTGATTCAGTGCAGCTCTAAGTCTAAAATAAGAGACTAAAGAACGCTGAGGTATCCCATAATGTGCAACCAGTGAACATCAGTTCAGATTGATTATTCAGCAGTCCAGTACAGTTAGTAGAGTAAATAAACTTCAGCAATTTATTTCAAGTTTCAGCCGCTCCCGCCTTTGGTTTGTAATTTAAAAGAAGGTATCAAAAAAAGTAGCGTTTATGAATCAGTATTAGCCAAAATAAAACTTATGGCTTATTAAGCTTATTAATCAAATATAAAATAAACTGCTTGGTGTGTTTATTTTCTACATTCCATTACTGTGTAAACAGTTTTCTAGTCACACTTCCATCACTTTTATCATGCACTAAAGCACTTCCTAAAAAAATCATAAGACCAATTTTTACACCAGGGTTATTACAGTTTTTGAATTTTATTAGCTTTTATTTTTGTTTAGTTTATTTTATTTTTTATTGAAATTTTTTTTTTATTTTGTTTCTGTAAGTTTTAGTTCATTTAGTTTATTCGTCAGTTTTAGTTTTGTTTTTATTTCCTGAAATGTAATAGTTTTAGATGAGTTTTTTTTAATATCAGTTTTAGTCTTAGATTTTAGTATTATAATGAGGGCTGTGATAGTAGGTATTTGGTACAGGTAGAATATAAAAAAGAAAGAAAGAAAAAAAAACCTGAGCTCAGCTCAGCTTCCCAAACAGAAGCGATCCACTTTTAAACTGTCATTTACCCACTAAAAGACATGAAAACTACATTTTTTCTCTATTTCAGTTAGTTTTGCAGCTAATATTAAAGTTTTAATTTAGTTTTTGTTTTTAGTTTTAGTTTTATTACTGTTAATGGCCACATTCTTCATTGCAAGTTTTCCTTTTAGGACTATCCATTCATCCATCCATCATCTAAACCGCTTATCCTTCCAGGTCGCGGTGGGGTGCTGGAGCCTATCCCAGCTCACATTGGGCGGAAGGCAGGATACACCCTGGACAGGTCGCCAGTCCATCGCAGGGCAGACAGACAGACATACACACACATTCAAATACACACTCACACCTAGGGGCAATTTAGCACATCCAATTGGCCTGACCGCATGTTTTTGGACTGTGGGAGGAAACCGGAGTACCCAGAGGAAACCCACGCAGACACGGGGAGAACAGGCAAACTCCACACAGAAACAACCCTGGTCACCCGGCCGGGAATCGAACCCAGGCCCTTCTTGCTGTGAGGCGACAGCGCTACCCACTGCGCCACATATTTACACCTTTACTTTCCACCACTTCCTCCTAAAACAAGCCACTTTGCTGCACTGCTATCACAGCATGCTCTGAAAAAAACGAGGAAATCCCACCTACCTGTAAGCAGTGAGCTCAACCTTAGCGTGCTCACAGGTGACCAGCTCAGGGATGAGCGACAGGTGGGAAATCTGAGTTGCAGCCCAGCCGAACTGGAAGACGATGATGAAGGGCATGAAGTAGATAAGCCCCACCCACTGTGGTGTCCCCACGCCGCACCCCACGCACGGGTTAAAGATGAAGGGGAAAGACACCAGAACACTGACGGTCCCTGAAAGACAGACACAACACTAAGATCAATTTTTTTATTTATTTTATAGCCCATCTCCCAGCGCACTGGAGTAACTGTACGACAGCAGCGCTCAATCCTGGTCCTGGAGATCCACCACCCTGAGGACACGTGTCTCATTGTCAGGGTCTCCTTAAGGCCTTCATTACCTGGATCAGGTGCCTTAGCTCAGGGTTGGAGCTAAACTCTGTAGGGTGGTAGATCTCCAGGACCAGGACTGAGCACCACGGCTGTACGACAAACTGTTGTCTATTTAAACGAACCGGCAAAATTCCGGCTTTAACTAGCTTGTCCATGTTTACAGGTAACAGTGTGTCATAAAATGTCATAGGCCATATAAACAAGTCTATTAGAGGTTAATTAATAACTCTACACAGTATGTAGCAAGTGTTTGATTTAGCTATGCAGTTTGCACCAACTAACTAGCTAACTGGTAGCTATAAGCCTTGCTTATTTGCAGCTTTAGCCTCATAACTTCAGTGCAAAACTAAAGTAAAATTTGGACACAAAAAATGTCTTGGCTGATCAGCTACAATGGGTGAAATATAGCTTTAAAAATATTCATTAAAGATGCACTGATATGGTGCCAATGTCTGATATTTATATCTTTAAATATCTGTTGATGCCAACGTTGAGGCCGATACGTAAATATTTACAAAATGTATAAAGTGGGACTTAAAAAAATGCTGGATAAAATGTTTACACTACAAATGTTTACATACATTTATTTCTATAATGAAAAAACACAGCAACATTAATAAAGTTCAGATATTTTAGGACAATCTAGCATCACCTAACCTTCTGTTCTAATACAGTGCAGTCACTGCAGAACATAAGTGGAAAATAAACTGCAACACAGTCTATTTTGAATTCTTTGTTCCTGTCATGTCACGAAAACCATCCACCTATTCAGCCTACAGCAGTTTAGCTCCGCCCTCTCATGCTGAATTATAAGGAGTGTTTCAGCCTGGGACTGCTTTTTGAAGCAGGCACAATACAGGACAGCCAATAAGAACAGAGCTCAGTCTTAAAGGCACAGTAACAAAAACAGCCTGTTTAATTCTATGAGGTAAAAATAGAGGCTGGCATGTAAAAAGAATATCACTGTTTTTGGCACATAAAGCCAACATTAATCAGGGGAATCAGAGAAAATAAACACAACGCATAAGAAATGTAGGATTATCTGCCACTGCCGATATGAATTCGATATCATTGTGTGTCCCTAATAAAAATAAAAATAATAACAATAATGTTTTATCTGTATTTCAAACCCAAGGTTGATTTACTCAACCAACATGCAGTGTAAACAACAATAAACACCACATAATCACCACACAGTGCTATTATTTCACTGGTATTAGTTCCACAGTCCTCAGTTACCTGGCTCAGGTGTGGAATTAAACAAAAACGTGCAGCCGTTTGGGCCCACGCAGTACCCCTGTTATGTAACCTTCACCTCTGACCCCGCCCTTAGCCACTCTCAATGCTTTTCTTTGGCACCTGTGTATATTATGGGTGCCCAATCCAGCTCCTGGACCTCTACCAATGCAACATGCCTGATTATGCTAAGCAAGGTGTGCAGGAACATCTGAATATTAGAGGGGCCTTAAACAAGGAGGGAAAACAAAAGTTCGAGGGAGGTCGAACCTCCAGAAGCAGTGTTGTGAGAGTTCTTCCTGAATGTAAATGAAGTAATTCACTTCCTCATTCACTGTTACCACACAGAGGAGCTGGAGAACGCTGCTGTGGCTGTAATAGCACCTCACCTGGCACAGCAATTCTGATGACTAACAACCAAGATCTAAAGCTGATGGTAAAATGATCCTGGACTTGATCAGACTGAACAACATAACAGCAACATATCCCTTCAGCTAGTACAGCAGAAACACTCTGAGGGAGGAAAGAGAAGTGAAACAAACTGAGGCGGATTTGGTGCTTCTGTCGAATAAAGAAGTTTCACCATAGAACAGCTGGGTCTGCCACAACATTGAAATTTTAGCTGATGATTAATTGGCATATAAATAATTGCAATGAACAATTTAATTTTCCTGTTTTATTGTATTTAAGTATTAAAGTACAAGCCTAAAATGGCCAAACTGGCTGATAAGCTATCTTTAATCCTGATTGTCCATATTTAGTAGATCCCAACTGACAACCGAAACAGCTCAAAAACAAAGGTCGCTCACCGCCGCCCTCTAAAGGTGATATTAACAAACATCAAATAAACAAACATCACTCACCGCTGCCCTCTAAAGGTGATATTAACAAACATCTAATAAACAAACATCACTCACCGCCGCCCTCTAAAGGTGATATTAACAAACATCTAATAAACAAACATTACTCACCGCCACCCTCTAAAAATGTTACAGCATCAGTCAAAACCTTTCTTCAGTTGTACTGCCCTACTCTTGAGTAACTAAACACTAACAGCTGTACAAATTTGGATTTGTTCAGCTCTCTGAGAATTAAAAAATATTTTTATGTACATTTATGTTTGATGATTTTTTTTATTATTATTTTGGTCTGAGGATTGTTGGAACTTTCGGTGAAAGACACATTTCTGTGAGAACAGAAAATAAAGTGTTATTGAATCTTCATTTTCCTCAGTTCCACTTCAGTCCCTCATGTTTAGTTCCTGTTTCACTTTTTTGGGGTTTAATTCAATTGTGTTCAGTTGTTTCTGCTCTTGTGGCCACTAGAATAAAACATCATAAGCGTTTTTCAGTTTTTATCACTAGGATTTATCATTATCATTTATCAAGTTCAGTGTTTAAGGGATCATTTTAAAGCTGTGCATGTAAATAAACATTACTCACCACCGCCCTCTAAAGGTGATATTAACAAACATCAAATAAACAAACATTACTCACTGCCGCCCTCTAAAGGAGTTATTACCAAACATCTAATAAACAAACATTACTCACCGCCGCCCTCTAAAGGTGATATTAACAAACATCACATAAACAAACATCACTCACCGCCGCCCTCTAAAGGTGTTATTAACAAACATCTAATAAACAAACATTACTCACCGCCGCCCTCTAAAGGTGATATTAACAAACATCTAATAAACAAACATTACTCACCGCCGCCCTCTAAAGGTGATATTAACAAGCATCAAATAAACAAACATCACTCACTGCTGCCCTCTAAAGTTGTCATTAACAAACATCTAATAATCAAACATTACTCACCGCTGCCTTCTAAAGGTGATATTAACAAACATCTAATAATCAAACATCACTCACGCCGCCCTCTAAAAATGTTACAGCATCAGTCAAAACCTTTCTTCAGTTGTACTGCCCTACTCTTGAGTAACTAAACACTAACAGCTGTACAAATTTGGATTTGTTCAGCGCTCTGAGAATTAAAAAATATTTTTATGTATATTTATGTTTGATGTATTATTTTGGTCTGAGGATTGTTGGAACTTTCGGTGAAAGACACATTTCTGTGAGAACAGAAAATAAAGTGTTATTGAATCTTCATTCAATAACAATTCCAGTCCAGCTGCTTTGATTTACTACTACTGGACAATTCAATCACCCGAATGACTGAAAACCTTCCGTCCAGTGGAGGACTGTGACTAACAGGCTTAACATGACTTAATGCCTAATGCAGTAAAATCTGAAGATCTAGCATCAGATTACTCTTAAATCTAACTAGTCATAAACATAAACACTGTTTACTGTCAAAAGGCTGGTGATTATCAAAAAAAAAAATCTCACAATGTTTTTTTCCCCATAGAAACACATTTTAAGGACTTGCTGTTGCCGTATATTGGGTTATAATGGCATATACTTGAACATTCAAAAACAGCACAGTTAACTATAGTGAACATATACTTTAAAACATTATTGCATTGCACATACATTTTATATATGTACATTTATTTTTTATCCATATGGAAAAAATGGGAAAAAATATTTATAGCAATATAATAAGAAGCTATAAGATGCCTATGATGCCGTACAAAGCTGCTATAATATGTTCACCTCCTATAATGTGTGTAGTGCTTGGGTAGCTTCCTGTAGTAAACTACAGAAATTGCACTAGTAGTACACTGTGGTGATTGTCCTAATCTAATATAAGATTCCTATAGGAATTCCTGAAGTATATGAAGTTCATAAATGTTGAAGGAGAATTCCATCAATTTTCCAAAGTTTCTAAATCATTCAATCTTTGAGATCATTCAGAGTGGTTTGGTGTGAAATGGTTGACTGAACAGACTCAGATTTCTTTACAGTGGTGGTGATGGGAACCAGGGGTCACCATGACTACACCACAGATATAGGCATTTTATTTACTGTCCAAAATGACTAGTACACCCATGTGTGTTCTATATGTAATGCTATTAATGGTAAAACAGTTACAAATCTAAAGAACTAGGTTTCTCACTGGGGACTATTTTGCCTAATAACGCTCTGCATGCACCTCTTCACAATGTATTTAAAAACTGAGGGTTTTTAGGCTTTTTTTTAGGGTTTTTAGGCTAAAACCTTCTCGTATCTACCACAAAACAACGTCTCAGACATCAGTCAGCGTATTCATACCCACTTCATGTAAAGGGAGCTTTCAGAGGTGGACGTCTGGTTCCTATTACCACCACTGTGAACAATTCTGACTGTAAGTTTCTCTGGAACAGAGCGTTTCACACCAAACCACTGAATGACTCTATTTACATCTTAACCACTTCAACTAGAGAGAAAGTTTAAAAAGTGGGTGGAATTCCCCTTTAAGCCAAATTTCTTTAACATTAAGCTTTTCATAAAGTCCCTGGACTCTGTAAGCTCGGAGTCACTGGACGGGAGTGGACAGTAGCCCTGCAGCCCCCTTACCGATCAGATGCCAGGTTTTCCTTCTGCCGTACGAGCCGCATCCTCGTGTCCGGTCAGACTCGTAGCCCACCAGCGGCGTGGCGACCCCGTCCGCGATCTGACCCACCAGCAGCAGCAGCCCGGCGCTCGTGTCCCGAAAGCTGAGCACTGAGTGGTAGTACACGAGCAGGTAGGTGAACCACATGCACGCGCACAGGTCGTTCAGAAAGTGGCCGACCGCGTAGGTGAGGCGCCTCGGCACGGGCAGCGTGGAGTCCGGCATGACGAGCGGAGGAGCTGGAGGGGCAGCAGCTGGACACGGACTCTTCTCTCACTGCCTGGAAGCACAGCGCTGTCAGCTCTGTCACACTGTCACACCTCACTGACCCTGCTTTTCAGAAAAGCGCCGCCTGACGTCAGAGGCTTGTTTTATCAGCCGACCAATCAGGACGAGGAAAAGCCGAGTGGAGGTTCGGAGAGTGGTGGGGGGGTCTTTATTGGATGGATGGATAGACAAACAGACAGACAGACAGGAAGACGGACAGACAGATAGATCGACGGAAATATAGATAAAGAGACAGACAGACAGACAGATAAATAGATAGATAGATAGACAGACATGGACAGACAGACGGATAGATAGATAGACAGACAGATAGATAGATAGATAGACAGACATGGACAGACAGACAGATAGATAGATAGATAGATAGATAGATAGATAGATAGACAGACATGGACAGACAGACGGATAGATAGATAGATAGATAGATAGATAGATAGACAGACATGGACAGACAGACGGATAGATAGATAGATAGATAGATAGATAGATAGATAGATAAATAGATAGATAGACAGACAGACAGACAGATAGATAGATAGATAGATAGATAGATAGATAGACAGACGGAAAGATAGCAGAAAGTTGGCCACCTCTGCGCACTATGCGCCTCAGCATCCGCTGACCCCACTCTGTCATTTTACGTGGCCGACCACTTCGTGGCTGAGTTGCTGTCGTTCCCAATCACTTCTGCTCTGTTATAACACCACTGACAGTTGACTGTGGAATATTTAGTAGTGAGGAAATTTCACGACTGCACTTGTTGCACAGGTGGCATCCTATCAAGGCACCACGCTGGAATTCACTGAGCTCCTGAGAGCGACACATTCTTTCACTAATGTCTGTAGAAGCAGTCTGCAGGCCTAGGTGCTTGGCTTTATACACCTGTGGCCATGGAAGTGATTGGAACACCTGAATTCAATGATTTGGATGGGTGAGTGAAAACCTTTGGCAGTATAATGTAGATAGATAGCAAACATTTCTAAGCTGATCAACTACACATAATAGAAAATTACACAGAAGCCCCAACAATACATATCAAAACTTCAAAAATATCAAATTTGCCTTCAGTTTTTCAAAGAAATCTGCAGATATGTTTGTACATCTCCAAAGTTCAGTCTTAGAAGTTAGAATTCTTTTCCCCCACAATGCACATTAAAAATTTAGACTCATCAGTTTACAAAAGCTCCAGTTTTGGTGTGCTAGTGCTTCTTCTATGTCTACAGTTGTGTGCAAAAGTTTGCAGACCCCTGGTGAAACTGCATGGCTGATCGACTGCGCTTATCCTGTTTCACTCAGAAGGGAAGAGAAACGTGTTCCGATGTCCAGTTTATGTTGACTTTAACACCCCAAAACACAGAACACACAGCTCTAGACACGTCCTCATCTTATTTATTAATAACCTTCCAGGCTGGTCAAATAACGTTCAATTATAAAACACTGGTAAATCTCTCCTTTGAGAGGAGAAAGGACGGATACGCTTTATATGCCATTAGATCCAGTGAGGATTGTCAAAGCTCTCCAAGCTACAGCTCTATGAACCATAGAGACCTGGTGACACTTCAGGTCATAGTTATTTTCTTTGCAAGTGTCATCAGTGTTATTCTAGCATCTACATTGACACTATCAGGTGACTGGACGCATGACAGGTTTGTATGACCAGCTACACAGTGAGTATGACAACTGTGTTACTGTATCCAGTCCAGTTTCACTTCCTCTAAAGCAGTGCTTCCCTGTGGTGTTGAGGAGCACCACCCCCACCGCACAGTGTTTCCCCCTGCTGTACATGAAGACACTGATTCTGTTCTTCAGATGGGTCTCATTCTCTCAGGTGTGCCAGAGAAGGGAAAGCACTGCGGGGGTCTTCCAGGACACGGGCCAGGAAATGCTCTCTAAACTGAAATGCACTTCTTGGCCACTTTATTCGAAACCTCAACCTTGGTGTTCAGTAAGAGACTGAGGTACAGTTCATGTTCACCTTCGTCTAGCGCTTCATCAGTGGTTAGTTTCTGACCACAGCCTCTCTCATCTGGATATTTTTGGTAGACCACTCTCAACACGTCAGTGTCACTGCTGTGCTAAGAATGATCCACCACCTAAATGATGTCTGGTCAGAGATGGCCCTGTGGTCAGACACTGACCAGTGACCAGTGGGGTAAAGGGGAGCTGATAAACTGTGCAGCAAACAGACGGGTTTCAGTCTGTAACTGTGCACCTACAGTACTGTGCAAAACCCGAAGACCACTGTTTATTTTAATCAGAGTTTTTGCTTCTCACCATCCAAGAAATCCCAAACACTCTTACATAAGATGGTTCTTCAAGTTCTTTAGTAAAAATGGTTCTATATAGAACCTTTTTTGAAAAGGGTTCTTCTATTGTGACAGGCTTGACACTGTCACAATAGCCAAACCCTTTTCAAAAAGGTTCTACATAGAACCATCTACAGCACATAATCCATCAATGTGAAGAACCCCTTTCACCATGAAAAGAACCTTTTAATCATGCACAGGTTTCTTAGAGTGTTCATGGTTTGATATAGAACCATTTTCATTATTAAAGAACTCTTAAAGAACCTTAATTTTTGGGTCATTCTATGGAAACATCCATTTTTGTGTCCTTAGCGTTTACAGATATATTACACTTGAAAAACATGTTAGGGTTACAATTTATTCATATTTTAAAATAAAACAATACGTTATTTTAATGATTACATCTTCTTGAGCCTCAATTTAGCAATATTGGTTTTTAAGTCAATCATGTAGAATTCCAATCACCACAGAAGAGCTCGTCCCCACAGTCATGCGTGAAGGGTGAGGACATATTTTGAAGAAAAAACATGTTTTTCTGCAATTTCAACTACAACAATCTATACATGATTATGAAATATATGAATTAAATGACATAGAGAAAACCAATGACAAATAAATATATATAAAATATATAATGAAAGTTCCCCAGGAGTCGTGTCACTGGTGTTACTGCGTAACAAAAATCTCTTATTTTATGATAAAAATCCCACTGATGACATTACTTGACTTCCTTTTACCTGTTTTCTGAGGATCTATGAAGAAAAGCACATGGTGAGTCCACTGAGTCTTTCAGTTATCAGAGATTTTCTCATTTAGCTCATGATTTCATATGAAGCTGAAGTCACTGTTGTGACCGACTTTATTCTTAGGTAACTGTGAAAAAATAGAATCAAAATGGATTAATTTACATATTTTAGTGGATATTCCATGATTGACATGTGGTTTGATGCTCTGTAGCAGCCATTTTGTAAAATGTATTTTTCATTAAAAATGTCTCTGGTGTCACCTTTCTTATGTGTAACACCAATGAGGATCAGTAACACCAGCGACTCCTATGGATAGATAGAAAAGTGGACGTTTCTGTAGAATGACCCTTTTAATACTGAATTAGACATTTAAGACCCATCGGAGCTGGATTGGTTCTGTAATTTGAGGGACTAAAGGCAAGAGCCATGGTTTTAATCCAGTTTGAATCTGCACTGTCTGTAATCTTGTCTGCTAAATAATAATTCCAGAGTTAAGTACCTTCTATAATCAGAATCGATATCATACCTTTTACAATCAGAATTGATATCACAGTAAAAAATAATAACAAAACCAGGTAACGGAAAATGGTGCCTCCATTTTTTTTCTTTTTTGTGACCTGAAGGCAAGGCTAACAGCTTGATTTGACCCAATTCCTTAATCCAGAAGTTAATGACTACTCAAGTCCATTTTCTCCCATATGAGACACTAAAAAGGGGTCTTTAGTAATAAAAATGTTCTATATAGAGCCATGAACTCTCAAAGAACCCTTTCTGAAAAAGGGTTCTTCTATTGTATACAATCTTGACATGTTAACAATATCAGAACCCTTTTTGGTGCCTTTTTTTCACTAAAGAACCCTTGAAGAACCATCTTTTTTTAAGAGTGTGTGACTAAGCACCATCATTTCGAGTGGGCGTCATGTCACCCTGAAATGAGCTGTACAGTCTCCTCACTCGTCCAGCGTCGCGGTTTATTTACTTCTTTTTTTGCCACCATGTTTAACATTTAGCTGCACAGTATCAGTAAACTTGTAGAGAGGATAATATCCACTCTGTAATGTCTTTCGGGTTTCTCAAACGCTAGAGGGCGCTCCAGAGTGAGTCCAAAGTGAATGGGTTAAAACGGAGCATTTCAGCAAAATCATAGTTTATAAACACAAACATTTTTAATATAAAAGAGTACAATCATTTACATTGCTGTTATAATTGTAAACACTTTTTGAGGGGTTATAGGGGTTTAAAACGCGCCTCATGCACAAAACAGCCAATGAGTTGCTGCGCTCAGCAACCAATCGGCACTCAGTAGCAGTAATGCTAGCGTCCAAAACTCATTTGTTGTAGAAAAAAAGGAAACCTACAGGTGAGTTTTCTTTGCTATTTTTAGTGAAATACATTCTTCTAATTTCTAAAATTAAAGGAAAGTTCTGGGTGAGTGATTAGAAACTATTTTAACTTTTTGTTTTCAGCCGTTGAGCTCCATTTAAGGCCATTCATTGACTCGCTCACAGGCGCCCTCTGCTGTTTAGCAGTCCTGTTGCTGATATAACGTGGGAAATAGGAAGTGGCCAGGCTCCTCATAAACCGGCTCTGACAGCATGTTGTTAGTGTTTGGAAGTGTGGCGCCTGTTGCGTTGTCACATAATGCTGATGTAAACAATCACGCGATGATGTATGGATCCGAGCTATTTGGGGTAATTTGAGAAAACTACACAGATCCTTTATCCCGTATGAATCAGTCAGTCAAATCATGCACAGGTTACATTACCAGACCTCCTCTGGTAAAACTAACCCAGCTCCAATAGGGCTTTAGACTCCTCAGCTCATAAAACTTTACTCCACATCTCAGATGTCCAGTTTTGGAGTTCTAGTGCAAATGTTCTTTTTTTGTCTGCAGTCATATGCAAAGGTTTGGGTACGCTTGGTCAAATTTGTTGATTTTCTAA